GAGAATTATGGGTGGTCTTTTCGAATGCAAGCACTTTCAAGCTTAAGTGCATGAACAATGGCATCATCTCTGCAAGCATATTTCCCAATCTTCTTAGATGAAGTGTATGCAAACAACTCATCTTTCTCAATGCATGAATCATACTCCCTGCAATGAAAAGCTTTTACTTTTTTTAATTTCTCGAGATTATACTATTACCTTAAAGAAATTCGGCAAGAAATCAAATTAAATTATCATTGATATAAATTTAACTTAAGGAAGTGCATTACGTCATTTAAAGAACCTAAATGTGCTAAACTGCGGTGACCTCTTTCCTACCGAGACGCACAAACTCCCATAGTGTCCCAGATCACATTCCTAGGGGAAATTGGTATTAATTTTGAGGTGTTTGACGTTTGGAACTCATCTAACCTTTTCTTGATTAACACACAAGCATGCATACTCAATCAATATATCAATTTGCACCTACACGTGTTCTAAATTTTGTAGCATCTTCTAATAAATGAAAAAAAAATTAGCATCTTCTGTTAAATAAAAAAATTACTTAACATGCTACTTTCTAATATGAACATNAAAAAAATTACTTACATGCTACTTTCTAATATGAACATGGAAAGAAGCACTCAAATTGCACTCATCAACAAAAATAAAACCTCTAATGCACATGAATTGCACGCATTTATAAATGCAATATATGAATACTCAAGGGAGCTGCTATTTATATCCACTTTTCAAAATAAAATCATATTATAATTTTGACCTTATGTAAATTTACTTAAATAGACATATATAAAATTAAATAAAAATAAATCACTCTAAATTCATTAACTAATATTTATTTTCATTAAATATTTTCTCCTCTTTCTTTATGAAAATTTCTTTTTTTACCCCATAATCAGCGCTTTTTTTTTTTGTGACAATTAGAAATGATCAGCATTTTGGATCTACAAACTCTCTTGGTGCTCCCATTCATTTCAGCATTCTTTGGATACGGATGGACGATTTGGCTCATGGGTACTGGGCCAAGAATGGATTAAAAATGAATGAGCTTAATGCTGTTGGAATGGGATTAAATTTCAACACCCTTTTGATCATCAAGTTGCCAAATGCTCGGGTTCTGCTGATTTTGTCAATATCATTTTTTTCTTGGCTATGGTCTACAGAATAAATTGTTAGAAATAAAGTGCAGAAATAAAAACTTATCGACTAATCGAGTCTTGTGATAGCACGATGTCCTAAAGTGAAATTGCTCGTCGATAACTACTGCGACCTCTGTGGACAATCACCTGCAGGATACAA